ATTCACTGACTTCTCGTGACAGGGAGGTTGTTTACAAAATTGAGAGTGCGGAAAGAGAATGTCCGGCGCTTTAACTGGGTTGGTAGATATGAAGGATCCACCTAGGTGGGTTGGAAAACCATGATTCCAAACCAATGGAACAAATGGTGTATGATTCTATTGTTGGTCAGTGGCAACCATGGGACTGCATCTCCTTACGTTGTTCCGTTGCCTTGTGTATCAAACCATTATGTCGAAGGCTCTGGGTGTGACTCCCTAAGAAAACCACCTGGTTTGGTTTGAGCACCCGAGTAGTATCCCATCCCTCACAAAACTAAATGATTTGTGTGGCATATATCTATTTGTTGCCTCCTTCTATCTGTGTTTAAATAAATAAATAACCCTTGATCATTCATAACGAGTACTGTACTTTTAGATAACTAATCTGAATTCCAGTTATTTAGTCAAATTATCTATATTAAGAAGGTCATAAGGAAATAGATCAGTATACTTTATGAGATAACATATTTTAAATGATATTTTTGATTTGATTGAAAAATTAATAAGAAATAATTACTAACAGCTTTATCAGTAATTCATGTAAATAAGCGGAAGTATTCAGTAAGTATTGCTTTTTTTCATAAATGAATTACTCATTTCTTGTTCTAGTAAATACTGTTACCACTAAAGAACAAAATGAGCTGTAATTATCTTATTTGTAAAAAGAAATATCTATATATGGTGGCATAGGATTTGTGAAATCAATGAACATATACCGGTTATTGATAAGTGAGTGAATATTAGGAATTATTTTATGACAAATTATTGTATATAGCGAGTAGATGATTGAGTGTCTGTTTGCTATTTTCTTACTTAGGACTGGAATATTGGGTTATAGAAGAAGGGGAACACTCTGTGGTTATAAGCTTTAAGAATTATCTCACTCATTTTTCAAGGTAAATTGCTGTTAATCAAAGTGAGCAACTAGTCAATACTAAAGTTTATGGTCCATGGGTGAAATGTTAACTCGAATTAGAGAAATGTATTGATGGAATCGTACTCACTGATTAATTAAAGGAACATATACTTAAATTTAAGCTTATAACAACAGTACTATTCATTACTTTTGAACAAACAATTCAAAGTTTAGGATATTCATTTTTCAATGGCTACGATCATGAGTCAGTTGAAGCTAGACCACCATGGAAAACTGACTTATGATCTTAACCATTGAAATTACTAAAATATGCACAAAATCCATCTGATATTTATTTTTATAAAAATCATAAATAGATATCATATCATTTGGTCTTTGGCGTTAGCTTTCATCAAGAATCGAGATTCTCTGTAGGATGACTGACTAAATTTGCCCGAAAGAGGTTTGATTCTATTTGTGGTTTTCAGAAGGTATTTTAAATTTTAAAAAATCTAGCTATCTATAATTTCATCCCTATGAAATAAACGATTGTACAAGCAATATTCTCAGTAAAAAATTGTTCAAGATTTGCTTGATTTTGCTTTAACCATCCTAGTTCTAGGTTGATGATTCCCTACAAAGAAAAATACTCAGTCAGGATTTCTATCGACAGTTTTCAACTATTCAGCCTAATGATATTCTTTGTTAGTTAATCCTATACATCAATTTCAAAAACTTGCATCATTTTTATTCCATACTTCTATGTTCTGTTAAAGTATTTTCAAATATTCACTTCTTTATATATCATGCTTTCGAAGGGGGCTTTGGACTGTAGAATTGGAAATAAACATTTAAAATGTGTTTATTGAACGGCCTAGATTTAACAAGCATTGCTAATATAGAAATGAAATCAGTCTTCACTGAGGTTTATAACATATGTTTAGTTGGGTAGGTCAAGTAGAGTACTTTCTGTCACTAATTGTCACCAGCTAAAAATGAGAAAGTTCCTAAGTGCTCTAAACAGTTGTTTCAGCCTAAATTAAAACTCCTCAAGGTGAATTATGTTGGATATGAGGGCTGTTCATCTCATTTGCGTAAAAGTAGTGCGCTCAATACATGACTTGAGGGGTGAAGTATCCCATTCAGGAACTTAACAGCCTCCCAGTACTTCCTGGTTTTAGTGGCGATGTAAACTAAGAAACATGAGATCGGTTTGGTTAAATTACTTTTCTAGAATTCTAATAAAGACAGTATGGAAAAAATATATGGTTAACCGCTAACTATGTCGCTATTTAAAAATAAAGGTAATTGTATTAGATTGCTGCAGGTAACCAACAGTACTATCTAGACAAAGGTCTCGTGTTAGTCTTGACTCACATACAAAGTGTGATATAAACACTGAACTATTTGATCATAAAATATACTGAAAGTCAAACAACGTTATCTGCGAAATGCTTTCAAATGTATTATATCAATTTCAATGGTTGAGATCATGAACCGATCGAAGCTAGACTACTATGGAAAACTTGGAAGCACTGGACGGCCGTTTCATTCTATTGTGGGACTCCTCAGCAGTGTGTATCCACAATCCCACCTCGCGAGACTTGAACCCCATCACCTACGACTCAACCATTGAAACTACTATGATAATGTCCACAAAAAGCCTTCTGATATGTATTATATCAGTTCGAATTTCAACCGAATATCGAGTCACTTAATATTACGATTTCATAGTGTACTAAATTGAAACCTATACTGATAATTACCACGGGTTCACTAGTGACTAGCTTCGTGAGGGAATTCTCGGGGTTCTTATGAGAAGCCGTGACCAGTGGAGCCAATCCATGTCGGGTAGAGGCATGTATCTACCTCAGTACAATGAAAGGTGGTCGCGCAATTTCGTGGATTGGTTGAAGTTAGATATTAACACCGTTGGATCCCGACTAACTCAGTGGTCTACAGGTTAAGCGTTCGTGTAGGAGACTGAAGGCTCTGTGTTCGAATCCCGCGATCGGGATCGTAGATGCGCACTGTTAAGGAGTCCCACAATAGGACGAAAAGGCTGTCCAGTGCTACTAGGCTTTCCATGGTGGTCTAACATCAAGCGGTTCATGATCTCAATCAAAAAGTAAATTGAAAGAATTTCATTAACTGTAAGGAATATGAAACCGAAGAAAATTTCTTTCCTTTTTAAAAAAAACCAAATAACTATGAAAGATCATTCACTAATTCATGTTTACATTTACACACATTCAATCATCATTTGTTCATTTGTTTATTATTCATTTAAAGGTCAAGGTTATCCTACCGAAAATAAACATATTTCTAACCATTTCATCCTACATACTTAGATACAAATAAAATAGCACAAAAACTAATATCATACATTGTTCATAGTATTAAAACATGAACAATGCTGTCATGTATTCACAAGTAGTATGTTTATATTAATCAGATTTACCTGTACCATTTATTGTTATTCTCCTTCTATAAATTATTTGACTGTTTATGAAACAAAACAAAAAAATACTACCTTTCTGTTCATGCTGCTTACGATGAATTAAAGTAACCGAAATTTAGGTCAGGTGGTATCTGCATATATATATATATATATATATATATATATATATATATATATATATATTCAACAGAACAGGTACATTAATATCAAACCAATGGTTATTTTGTGTAAATGAATATCAATATGTATGTTATTACTTTAATTCATCAAATTGCATTTTATTGAACATCAAAAAAGATATTGGTATACTTCAATTCTTTATAAACTGGTACATGTACTTGTAATATAATTAAATATAAAATTTATTTAATAATGATGAATAAAGTAACAAGTTATAAGTGACTTAACATGTACACACAAAGAATAGTAATAATAAAAGACAACTGTTAGTATATACATATACACTGGAGGGTGGTGGTGGTGGGCTATTTTTTTGTATCCATGACTGTATTAATTTTATGTATGAATTGATAAATAGAAAATAAACCGAAATAGATACCATTATATTCAAATGAATAAAGTACATACAAAAAAAAGCAAAAAAAAAAAGAAACCAGAGAGTATATGAGAAGGAAAGAAAAGAAAAGAGGAGAAAAGGAAAATAGATATATGACTATAACAGAAGAGAAAGTAAATGAGACTTTCATACAAGAATAGTATGTAAAATATAATGAGATTAAACCTTAATCAAATGATGAAGTGATTAACTGCTAATATGAATCATATCGGAAGATTCAAATATTCTATTTTATATTTACTATACTATAATAATTTATGCCGAAAGATGGAAAATCGATTGGATTATTAAAAATTCATCCAACTTCTCTTATTGTAAACAATGAGTATTGTATTATTATTTCATGCAATTTACTTTATGATTTCAAATTGATATTAAAATTATGACTGATTTCGTTTTTATTGAGATTATAAACTAATCAATGTTAGACCACTAGCAGTGAGCATCCACAATCCCGCACACGGGATTCGAGCTCAGGACCCATACCAGGACGAACCAACTATTCAGTGGTTTCAAATTTTCAATGGTGTTCTAACACTGATCAGTTTATGATCTTAATTAAAACTCAACAATCTCCGTAACATTATAATGATGATTTGTTTTTATCATCCTAACTTCCTCGTTTGGTATGCTGATATAAATTGTAATGTCGTGAAAGTAGTAAATAACATTCAGATTCAACCTTATATGTTTCATTCAATGTGGTTTATATATGTAATCAGAATGAAAGGGGTAAAAGGTGGTTTTAATTATTTAGTCATCATACTTGTGGAACTACTATAAACCGGAGGAAACATTTAAAAACTGAATTTTCTCTAGTTTGAAGCTTATCAACAGTCAGCGCTCATTACGTCGCAAACAATAGAGCTTAAGAGATTTAATACTAAAACAGATACCAATGATTTACTATGGTGACTATGTATCGTCAGTTAACTGTAGTATGAGATGTAGATCATAGAACACCAATTGATTACTGCCTGAGGAATATGAAATTCAAGGGCTTGTTTACTGTTGAGTTTGTTCGTGCACGTAAACGATGTATTTCAAACTAGAACAAAGCGACTGTTCTATGATTCTTCTGTTTTAATTATTTGGTGTGCTGTATCCATCTTTAATTAGGGCAAACATTAAAATGAACAATTTTCATACTTTATCTACTGTAACAAAAATTAGATGACAATTAAATTTTGTTACAGTGATGAACAAAATCGTCTCAGACAAAAATGTCATATTTTAAGAAAAGATATCTTACTTTTAACACCATTGTTATGTGTTTGAATTCAGACGGCTCAATATTCAATCTTGTTACAACTGGACTTGCACTAATTGAATGATCTGGTGAATTTCGTCTACTTAAACTAACTAAACTCCAAAATATTCTTGGTGCAACACGACCAGGTGAATTAGACTGAGGTTTGTTAACACGAAATTGTAATTTGTAGACTTCAGTTGCTGAACTAAAATGTAAGAGAAATAAAAACAGAGATTAGTGAAAATCTACAGTAGTATCTAGAGAATTGGTGGAAAAAAAGTGCAAAATATGCTACAAATGTATTAATTCCTAATATACAAAATAATCATAATGAGATGAACAACCGGTGAGGCTATAGTTTATGAACGACCTTTGAGCGACGCTAGACTGACCTTGAAAGTATCCACTTAATAACCGGGACTAAATGAGGGTTATGAACCTGTATAAGGAATTATAATTATAATTTACAGTTGATGATTAAACTTAAGAACAACTTACTCGTTGAATAAGTTAGAGGCTATTTGAGTTCAATAGCTCATTTTTACCTGACCTACCAACATTTTCTATTGAGAGTTTTATAGATGTAGTAAGTTGAGTTAATTACTATCAAATCATGTAATTATACTACTTTAATTATAATTGAATAAAGTCATAATCATATTAAAGGCTACTTGTTCCATAGCATAATTACCCTGTTTCATGTCATAAATGAATGAAAAACTTTTATTCAGTCTTGCCTAATTTTCTAATATGTATTAAATGAATTTGAACTAAAATGCTTATCTATAAAATACTACTTTTGATTAGATTATTATCTCTTTATAACCATTCTTGACTAAATTCTATCGATCATCACCAACAATAAGAACAATATTCATATATCAGTGAGTCATAATGTAATAGATCAAACTAGAAACTTTTACCCTGAAATTTGAAAGTAGAATCTGATGAAGTGTAGAATCTTGAGTGGATATTGTTGAAAACTTTCGAATGAACATAAAATAACTAGTTAGGACAACTAGTTTTTTAACTATTCTACAGATGACATCAATTTGTGAGTGAAATTATAATCTGGTTTAATTATTCTCATCAAACTACCAAAATAAACAGAAAGTATTTGAAATTAGATGCAAGAAGATCACGGGTGATCGCTGATGCACACTACTGAGGAGTCCCACAATAGGACGAAATGGCCGTCCAGTGCTTTCAGGTTTTCCATGGTGGTCTAGCTACAACTGACTCATGATCTTAACCATTGAAATAATTTTTTCTTTCAAAACACTTATTGTTCCTTAATGATTTGATGTAATAACATAAGAAAACTAGTTGCATCAAACATTACATTAGTTTTTACCATAAAAGTGCTTTATTATAGAAATACGAATCTACCTGTATTTTGAAGATGGATTTGATGTAACTAAATCTTCTCTGAAACGAGCAACAATTTCAGTTACATTACGTTTTGAACTGATTACACTTCTATGGAACACATCCCACATATTATGTGATCTTATGTCGTTTCTTTCAGAAGATCTACTAGTTGGTCCAGTTTGAGTATCAAAGAATTCTTCAACTTCAATAGAAGAACTTGTATCACCATTAGTTGTTGATGATGATAAGGATACTGGCAATGATGATGATAATGATGACGATGAAGGAGATATTAATGAATTCACACTAGCTGGCCAGATTACACGAACAAATTCAACATAAGTATTGGATGGTATTTCACATCTACATTAAATTCGATTTAAAAATCAATAATGTTATTGTTCAATAAAACAAAATAAGTAAGATATATATTTGATAAATTAAAAATTCCTAATATTATTTATATCGAACAGAATATAATTGAAAACTAGTGATGAGGATGGGTGGATAGATATCTGTTTCAATCTAATATATGATTCCTGAACCCATCGAAACTTGAGCTAATAATTTTCTTGGCTCTTAGTAGGTGTACTACCTATGGATCACTGAAGTATAATCTAATAGTCTACATTTTGCTCTTCAGTTAATTAACAACATATTTGGACTAACATCCAATGATGTTGATGATTACTGAATCACTCCAAACAGTAATGAAGTATAAATGTGATACTTACTTACTTACGCCTGTTACTCCTCGTGAAGGAACATAGGTCGATCACCAGCATTCTCCATCCAACCCTGTCCTGGGCATAAATGTGATAACCTTCCACTAAAATCTCCAGAATTTTGTTTCAATATTAATCACTTATAAATAAACAATTATATCAATTGATTAGACGGTTTTATAAGACTAATTTAATTTATAGGTGACATTACTTAATAGAGGACACACATCGAGGAAAGCTCCAATCTGCGTCACAAGGGCCGCCCTCACTTGGAATCCTCAAGGTCAAAAGAAAAACAGGAAGACCAAATAACACATTACGCTGAGAAATGGAGACAGACATGAGGAGAATGAAGAACACTTGGATAGGAGTAGAAAGGAAGGCCGAGGACAGAGTGAGTTGTAGAATGCTGGTCAGTAGCCTATGCTCCACTGGGAGTAACAGGAGTAAGTAGAGAATTACTTCATAGAATGAATTCCCTTTGCATACGATCTAGTGTAAATAATTTAGAAGTATAAGATAAAGTGAAAAAAGACAAAAATATGCGTCGAAGTGAAAATAAGAGGATCTATGGAAAACTAAATACATTGGATTGAAAGTAATCATGCAAAATGTTTTCACGTACACAGATGTGGTTTTAGGTTAACTATAGTCATGCTTTAGCAAGGTGAAGAATATACAAGCGTAGAACTTGTGATGGATTAGATTTAATCATATAAATAATACTGAATGATAAATTCGATACTGTGAGGTTTAAAGTCAAATACATAGAGCAAAATATAAGTTTCCGTTTTATACTTTACTGATTCATCACGAAAAATGATCTCAAAAAAGGTTGATAAACGAGACCAGTTTCTATTGTCATTCGGTTGCTAATAGTATAAATCGTCTTATCGAACTAATAAAAAATTAAGTATATAATTATACTTCAACGAGATTCTTTGAATTTACTAACTATGTAGTTTAATGATGATGTTTGTGACTGGAATATTTGATGATAGGAGTTTGAATCTTACGTAGAGTATCAGTTTTCTGAAGACCACATATATTTCATTGCTAAAACGCCCCAAATGGAGTAAACCTTAGGATTACTGGCTCTATGCCGACCCCCTCCCCTCAGTAATCTAACATGTAGTTATGATAGTTTTACTGTTTCCTTATATATAATCTACTTACTTTTTAAAATGTCACTTATTGAAACGGTAAGCTTTATTTGTGATTGTCAAGTGTACTTGAAATGTTCAGTTCATTTTTAACAGTGTGATTTATAAACAATGAGCTGATGTTATTTTAGAGTCAACCTTAGATCTGTTACTAACTAACTGTTTTTAAGTGAGAATTGAGAATGAATATTCGATAAGAAAAGATAGAAGATACCTGATGATAGTTGTATCATTTCTGACAAAGATTGTGACATTTTTTATTCACTGAAGATATCAACTAAGTACCATTTTTTCATTCATTCAGTTCACTTTAGAAGAGAAAAAATTCAACATTTTGTAGAGATGGTGGAGAAGATTTGTAGCTCAGGTGGATGATTTTGATGGAATTTCGTTCTATGAGCTGAATGGTTTGGTAACTTTACTTCTATCTGAAGTTTGTGCTGAGGATGTCGTTCAGAAGAACTATGAAAAGCTCCACAACCAAACCATCCAGCTCAGAGAACAAAATTCCATCAAAAACATTTTGTTTCTAGATGTCTTACGAATAAGTGGAAATTATGGGACTATTAGAATATTTACTTATAAGAACTCTTTATGAAATCATGAATATAAAGTTCATTTTATATACCCTCAACTTTATAGACAATAAAAAATGTATGATTTATTCCAACAGTTTAAGAATGTTAAATACTTATGGGGAAAATAGTATAAAGTAAAAGATTAAGTTGCTTAAAGCTAATTTTATAGATGATAATGGTAAAGATGTTTCATTCAAGATTGTCAAATCAAATTATTGGAATGAAAAATACTATGTACATAAAATTCAACTAAACTTTCTAATGTAGTGAACAATAACATGAGTGGGGACAATCGAATGTGTATGAGCACAACATTACAGAGCATCTCAATAAAATCTGAAAACCATGTAGTAAATAGTTAATTTGTAAAGTATTAATCCATCGTCTCAAACTTCACTGTTCCTTATGCAAATATCATGGTCCCTTCATTTTCTTACCACTTGCATACCGTTTTCGTTCTTTCCTTATCGACATTCTGCTTAAATACATTTCATGCCTGATCATCGTTATATACTACTAATATGGATATAAGTAACCCACATCACACTAACTTTTTTTATAGAAAGTAACTAGTCATGGAACATGTTTAATTGATATATAAACTTAATTACACATCTTAGATGATATTTACTAATAAGAATCTGCATTACTAAACAATTAGTGGTATACTTAATTGTTGACTATTTCAACTTCATTAATAATTGTTTTAAGATATGTGAATTAAAAAAGCCCTGGTACGGTCGAGAGTGGGGAGAGTTAGCTCTCCCTTTCAAAATGCTTTCACATGGCCACTGACAGGGAACACCTACTGACTGCCTTCTCGCACCACAGGTGTTGTGTACAATTGATTCACGAATAAATTATTGTAAATAATCATTGTTTGATAAACATTATTATTCATTCGCTTTTCACAATATAAACTATTATCCTAATGTTAAATTGAATGTTTCAATGAAATTATACTTTAGAATTGAGAATTAAAAGTAAATAAATAATGTAAAGATCAAAATAAGGGATAATTATAAACATTTATTTACTAGGAATGTTTTGTATTGAAAATAATTTTATATGATTAGATTCGGTGATACATGGAGAATCGGTGTAAATTAGAAAACATATAAGAAAAAAGTGTGTAGGTAGTGTATTATGATAATTCTTTGCATTCCTGAACATTAGATCGCCCCTAAATGCCCTGCTACTATCGAGGTTGAGGATAGATCGCACTCCCTCTCAAAATGCTCTCACATGGACACGGGTATACAGTCACTGTCAAGAAACTCTTATTCACTGACTTCTCGTGACAGGGGTGTTGTTTACAAAATTGAGAGTACGGAAAGAGAATGTCCGGAGCTTTAACTGGGTTGGTGGATATGGAGGATCCACCTATGTGGGTTGGAAAACCATGATTCCAAACCAATGGTGCACATGGGCCCTCGAATACTGAAGGAACAAATGGTGTATGATTCTATTGTTGGTCAGTGGCAACCATGGGACTGCATCTCCTTACGTTGTTCCATTGCCTTGTGTATCAGACCATTATGTCGAAGGCTCTGGGTGTGATCCCCTAAGAAAACCACCTGGTTTGGTTTGAGCACCCGAGTAGTATCCCAGCCCTCACAAAACTGAATGATTTATGTGGCACATATCTATTTGGTGCCGCCTTGTACCTATGTTTATACGTTTAAATAAATAAATATATATATAATCAAAAAAGAAGTTAATGATGAAAAGAAACATCAATATTATACTACTAATAACCGACTAACTAGTATTTTATAGAACGCTACAAACAGACTAAAATAAAAATGTAATCAATGAATTCATTCAACTTTTGTCATATTTCTATAATTCTATTCACGTAAACATATTTTGTTCAAATACAATCTAAATTATACTTATCAAATATAATTATCATTGGTTGATGTATATAATTCTTTTATGAGATAATTAAAGACAATGAAGCCAGAATTCATGTTTAATATAAATCATCAAGAAATTACTTATAGTTTTGAAGGAATTGAACTCCACCTGGAGCCCCTCTGGGGCTATTGCCGGTCCCAAGCCTGGATAAAGGAAGAGAGTTGTGCACAGGGTTAGCGACCCCAAGCCGTAGAAAATTAACTCGCTAAAAAACGCTAACCAGAAAATAATTATTAAAAACCACTTTGAAGGAATTGATTTTTACTAGAGATTTGAATTCTATACTACTTACTATTAGAGTAATTAGAAGTACTATTGAGAATTTTGAACCTTACAAGTGTCTTATGTTCTTATTAAATTATCATAATTGTCCAGTTATAACAGTTAGTATGAGGTCATTAAAAAATAATAATGATTTTAAGACTATACTACTATTTAATAGTAAAAACGTTCAGTGGGCAAAATCAATAAAATACTCAAGGCCATACTCATAAATTATACAAGTATCTAGGTCATTTTCATAATGATTTTGTTCCAATAAATTCATGGTACAATAAAAAAATGTTTTTTAAAAAAAATACTGAAATCCCAGGAGAATACATTATTAAAACCTAATAAAACGATATTCTATCCATAATGATAGTTAGTAATTATTATCAGGAGGGGTTTAGTGGAGATTCTAGAAATTTCAATAGTTGAAATCATGAGTTAATTGAAGATAGATCATCATGGAAAACCTGGAAGAACTGGACGGTCGTTTCGTCCTAGTATGGGACTCCTAAGCAGCAATCATCCATAACCTCGCCCCTCGCGAGGTCTGTTGTGACATATCAACTCATTGAAGACAATGGTGGACGGTTACACAATTTCATGGATTGGTTGAAGTTAGATATTAACACCTTTGGATGCCGGCCAGCCCAGTGGTTTAGAGGTTAAGCGTTTGCACGCGAGACCGATATGTCCTTCGTTCAAATCTC